CCTCGTTCAACCCACCCCCCAAAAAACTCCCCCCCCTCCCCCTAAAAAAAAAAAAAAAAAAAAAAAAGATATACATATATCTCTAATGAACAAAAAATATTGAAAAGATAAAAACCAAGAGCAGAGGGAGAAAAGTGAGACAAAAAAAATGAACATACCAAAAGGGGAAAACACTAACATGTATAGTAGGAAGTCTTGTTCCATAATACCTCTTTATATACTGGATAATCCTCCCCCCAATCCCCAACCCAAAAAAAAAAAAAAAAAAAAAATGCTAAATTACTACAAGATACAGGAATATCAGGGTACTGCATTAAATAATATACAGGGTCGTCTTTAATCTGCAGTAATACTGTGAAGTCAACGCAGCGCCCTCCAGTGGCAAAAAGGAGGAAGAGGAGTTTGGTGCACTTTACAATTTGTTCCTGTTTATATCTTGGTGTGTCAGTTACGGCAGACTGGTACCAGTACCAGACCGCAACCAACATGTCTCCTACAGCTGGAAGAACTGAGGGATGAACAGACCGATAGATTTCTGAGGGAGGGAATGAGAGTGTGTTTACATGCAGTCCACAGAGCGAGAAATTGTCATGAACTGAAACTAAACTGGTCAAACACTCTACACATTATACAAACAATAAAAAACGGAACAGTGGCTTAAACACATTTCTGGTGGAGGCTTTTATTAAAAACTAGAATATATATTTTAGAAGTGTTTTTTTTTTTTTTGCCATTTCTGCTGTTCCCACCACTAGATGGCACTAAAGCAAAGGAAAAACAATTAACCCTGAATCTAACTGAAGATCGCTAGAGCACCAACTTCAACAGGAAAAGAATCAGGCATCGACAGGAAATTATCCTTCTGTTTTTGACTGCTGCTGTTCACCAATTATCAGTAAAATCAGAGGCTGTTTATCAGTTGCACCAGTCAGCAAGAATTTTCCCATGACTGGTGATCAAAATACTAAAAATTAGTCTCCCCGTTCATTAAATGCACTAAAGCCAAAAATCCTACAGTTTTCAGTACATAAATGTATCGACCAACAACAGCTTGCAGACTCGTGTATTCATGCAGAAATGAAGAGGATTCCAAACTGACTGCATTAACAAACCTGCTGCATTATTATTCTGTGCTGGAGCCATTTGAATAAACATCTTCACATCAGGATCTTCAAATTCAGCTAATCTTCCTCTAAAATAAAAGGAAAGCCTACATGTTGAACTAAACATAACCCAGACATCTTCTAGCTTTTCCTGTGACATTCCTGACCATGCATGTAAACACACTCGGAGGGCTTTGGAAAGGCCCCGTCTACAGAGTGGGTCTGTTCCTGCAGGATGGACAAACTGCCAACAGGCGAGAGACCACAGTTTTGGACTGCTTTTGGAGGGCAACGCTGAATCTAGTCAATCCAAACAGCGCAGACAGGAGAGGACACCAACAAGAGGAGCGAAAATGAAAGTTAAATGTGCGATGCACTGAAAAAGAGGAGTGGGGTGAAGAAAAACCCAGGAACCTAATGGCTTTTTGATGCCATCTGGTTTTTTTGTTTTTGTTTTTGTTTAGATTCCCCTCTCACACACAAGTCATTTTCTCCATTTCTGTTTTTTCCTTTTTATTATTGTTGTTCTTTTTTTATCTCTTTGCAATAACATTAGGGGAAAATAATTATTTACAGTGCTGCTGAAATAATGAAAACAGACGTGATGAATCTACAGTAAACTAAGTCGCACAAACACAAGAGGAAACAAAACAGAACAAAATCATAATAAAAGGATTAAGAAACCAGCGGTGCTGTGGAAGTCCAGAGACCACAGCCTGTATCACGAGCTCTGGGCAGACATGGCTGAAGTGGAAGGGAGTGGGACGAACGGGGAGCAGGGCTCTGTCTCTGTTAAGTGGGGATGATCCCGTCACTCCTAAGGCCCCGCTTCAGCTCCAGGTCCTCCAGCTTCTTCCACAGCTCCTCACGCTCCTTCTCCTTCTTCTTCTCACTAAAACAGCACAATAGGTGTGAGCTCGCTCTCTCTCACACACACACACAAACACACACACACCTCTAGAAAAGTCCTGGGGCCTCATGTATAAAACAGTACACAAAGACTGTTTGAACAGCAGCGCACTCAGCTGGGATTTAAAGACAGACAGCGTCAGAGTCATTTGAGTGAGGAAAATGGACGTTTACTCTAAATAGAGAAATCATGTGCATAAGTTGTACATTTACAAAATAAAGATGCTTTCAGTCCTTAAAGGTGCATTCACAAAGCGGGCATGGCTCAACTGAAGGATGACTGCAGTTGCACCGGTAATATACGGCTCCTTCTTTAAGTTTTGCTCAGAGCTCCAGGATGATCAGTCTGGATTAATCTAAATGATAATGAACCATTATCAATATTTCCCAGCAGATCAATATGATCTCTATACACAGACTCCCTCGGAATCCCTCCATTAACGTTCTAAATCAGAGCCAAAGCGCTCCACAATTATGCTGCACACATTTGCACAGCTACTTATATACGTGTGATTGCATACACACTTTGATCACCTTAAAAATAAACCTGTTGGTTATTTTTAATCAGCAGGTTTGGGTGAATCTGCTGATCCAACCCTGTTTTCTTCTTTTTGTGAGAATGAAATTACCCTGCAGATGCATTTCATGCGCTTCGGTGCACGGACCAATGCGTTACAGCTTTGAGACAAAAAACTGAGGAAAAGTACTATTTACATTCGAGTGAGGTTTTCACATACTTTTATTTTAATTTTGTGTGTGTGTTAGCTTATTGTCTGAGGATAAATGCGGTTCAGTTTCATCGTTTACATTCAAACAATTAAAATATTAAAATCATGAAAAACAATGGGTTTGGTGCTTCTTGGTCTAAATAACATTAATTGTAGTCAGACTTCAGTGTATTTAGGTGAGTTTTGAGGCTTTGTAGTTTGATATTGTCCAAAGAAAAAGTTTGCGTGGTTGCCGCACATTTTCACGCCAGCAAAAAAGTGTGTGTATATTTACGCAAACTTTGACACAAAGTAAATTTTTATGCATGCCGACTTGTGCGTAAAATATGGCGCAGCACATTTTTTTGTGCCCACGCACTCTTTATGCATGAGGCCCCTGAAGATTTCTTGACCGGAATAATTTGAGTTTTGGAATATAAAACCCAAATTAATCCAAAAGTTCTCATACTCCTTGAACATTGTGTCACATTCCAACCACAAACTTCAATATTCTCCAAGTCTGAGTCAGTGTCACAAAGTAGCATGTGTAGCAAATGACTCGTGGTCTTCCTTCCTTGGTGAGGAGTGTGGCACCATGTGGTGTAGAACCAGTCCAGCAGTTCAACACCAGATTTCTGTGCAAAGCAGCTTAAACTATGTTACACTGGATGGAAAATCAATTTAAATTAAAAAAATACTTTGATTCCAAGGGAAATTTAAAGTGGACATATACTTTTAAATTATCCCTTTTCACATGCAAATCATTTGCTTACGGTCTATATGCAGTAAAACTTCAATCCTTTGGTCTGAATTCCTGGTTATTGCAGCTCCACAGACCCTCCTTTACCTCTGCTCTGAGGCTCTTTTAAGAGCAACTCGTTTTGCTGCTGTCTTTTTAAATGTGAGACATTTCATGCCCCGCCCTCCTCCAGGTAACACAACGTTCCACTCCACCCCAGTTGGCCATTTTTGTAGTTTAATAGCAGCGATACAATTATGTACCAACAGAGAAACTTTTTATTCCCAAGTTTATTAAAGATGTCAGCAGCAGAAGACTCGTCCATCCAACCTCCCATGTTGGAGTCAGAGTCTGACCCAGAGGAGGAGAATGAAGACGGTGAGCCAGAAGAACCACACATTCTAAAGAATGCATCACCATGGTGTTATTCTGTATTTATACCTTCACTAGCCATACCAACTACCTACAGTATAGAGCGTAGTTTAACTGTAGTGTCCTAACAGCTGGACACCATGGAAGGGACACCATGCCTAACTGTTATTTATGAAGACCACACATTTTCCTTCCACTTCACAGTTATGAAACATTGTGTTGGTCCGTCAAATACATTTCTAGTGACAGGTTTGTTCTTAGAATGTCATAAAATGCAGAAAAGATGGAGCGTGAATACTTTAGCAGTGGTGTGGGTGCATAACCCAAACCAAAATGTTGCTTCAGTCTGATTGTAAATGTTCTGCATGCTTCTGCTGCATGGCAGCAGAAAGAAAGCGACAGGATTCTGGGCTCTTACCGCTGACGGTCTGACTTGTAGGTGGCGGTGAGCTCATCGAATAAGGTACTGTTCATTTCCATGAAGGCCTTTAGAACATTGTACACCAGCGCTACAATGGCCCTGGGACAGAATGGACAGACAAGCTTCAGAATAGACTCTTCCACATTAGAGAAATAAGTACAACAGGTCAATGCATCATTTCTATGGTAGAGCAGGGTTTGCCCTGGTGGGGGCGCTCCACCACAGGCTCACTGAGGTCTCGGCTGGCATTAAAACACTCAACTGTAGTTTGCCCTTCAGTTAGATCCTAGCTAAGTGATCAGTTGCTGGCTTGGTCTTAAAACAACCTGTGTTATGCTCGTCAGACACAAAGCCATCCTGAGCCACAACAGGACTAGGCCGGTGCTAAGGGCCCCCCAGACTTTCAGGGGCCCCATAAGTGCTTAGAATTTAATACAGACCATAAATCTATACTTTCAATATATAAAGAATGACAATACTATTAAAACTGATTTAATGGTTTTAGCATAGATGCATTAAAAGCCTTAAACTGTTTAACATTTAAATTTAAGAACTAAAATTGCACTATGTCACTTCTAAATGTGTTTTTACATATTTATTAAAACTGTCACTATATTGTGACAGTGTAATAAGAGACAGAGCTGTGAAAAATGGAGACCACCCTGTAGTCCTGCTGCCATCTACAGAAATACAGCATTAGTCAGAAACAACCAATCAGAGTCAGGAGGTGGGTCTTGGAGCTGTCAATCACAGCTCCCTGCTCCACTACAGCTGGTTCACCACAACAAAGGCCCATTCCCAATGCTCAGTGCACACCCTACGCCCCGCTATGAAGTGTGGATTCAGTCAAGTGCACCTAAGGGTTTAAGTGCGCAGGTTTAGAAGCAGCAAAAATGTGAGAATCGGGACAGTACACCCCTGTGTCATAACTTTAACATACAAAATGATGGGACTGGTCACTGATTAGGCATTTGTGCTGCTAAAAAGTACAACTACCACAAAACAAATTATTTTAAATGTAAAGGTGTTTTTGCTTTCCTAAGTCATTGTTGGATATATTTGTTGGAGCTATGTGTTTTGTTAAGACTTGTTGAATAAAGAAAATTCTATGTAATCACATGTTCAAAAACAAATTTTTTCAATGCATTACTTTTAAAAACTGATTTTATTCTTTTTTTTTGCAACAGACAGTTTGCTCAATGAACTTTGTCATATTTCCAACATGGCAAATATACACATTAAATTGCACTAATATTTAATTTAACAGTCTGCCATTTGACTAATTAGAGACATGATGTATTTTACTTATAAAACCATCTCCTCTTTTATGCTTGATATAAAGAGGAGCTAATAGAGATCAAGATAAGGACAAACATAGGATATATATATATATATATATATATATATATATATATATATATATATATATATATGCGTGATTCTGCAGTTGAAAAATAAAAAGTAATGGAAATAAAATGTCCTCTTTAAAATAAACTGAATGTTGTGACTTAATAGACCAAATATGTTACAAGAAATTCACCAGGAACTCTGACATCAGTTTTCTTCCCCTGTACCCTGAGAAGAAGAAAATTGTTTAAAAATCATAATGATATCTCTAAGGAAAATAAGAACCAAATAGCTTTCTACACCACTCCCACAAGTGGGAGTGGTGTAGAAGTGGTGTAGCAGTAAGCGTTACCCGCTTACTGCTACAAAAAGAAAACAAAATTCAGATAATTGTTTGCATTTTAATTGTTAGAGTGCTGCAGAAGGAGGGCCTTGTTGAGAGTGCCATTCCTGCAAGAACTACAACTGTGTGCATATTTACATTTCAAGTTTACAAAGCTAGGTATAGTGATTAATTGTACAAAAACAACAATCTACAAATAGCTACGCTTACGGCTGTGGGGGTAGAGCCAGGTGGTCTACCATGCTAATAATCGACTGGAAGAAATAACTTTCTATTTAAAATGTCAGTCAGTCATGGGAGAAAAACATGTTGACATATCAATATCTCATCCTGTAAATACCAAGAATCTACTTTGATTTAACTCATTACATAAAAACTAAGCTGGGTCTCCTAGCAAAAGACAAAGTGACGACAACCTCCCTCCCCC